CATACAAAAAGTAGAGAGGAAAAAAAAAACAAAGAAAAGTGAGAAAAAGGAATTTCTTAAAAAGTAGGTTGATTTGTCATATAAGAAAGAGTCTGAATTCTAAAGGGTGCCTCTCTTACTTAAATTCATGGCTTCGCCACTGCCCGCCAGAGTTTAACAATAATAACAAAAAAACTAACAAGAACAACAACAACAACAATAAGTCCGCAGCACCCCAACAAACAAAAAAAACAATCAATTTTGCACTTGCAATTGATGTAAAGTTCACCACATTCGTAGCAGAACTTAGTTTTGCACCTGCAATCAACTCAAAAGAGACATAAATTAATAGGGCATTAATTCAAGAATTCATTGAATTGAACGAAACAAGTTGAAACAGTATTCAGCAATTTAGTCCACCTTTGTTTTATTTATTTATAATTATTAGGGAGGTTGAAATCACATGGGAGTCTGGGACCTCCTCCTTCAACATTAGAAATAGAAATACTTAAGATCGACATTTAACGTCACAGTTTCATCAGATTCATCAGTAATTTTTCAATTGTCATAGTTTTTTTTTTTAACTTTTTAGGGGAGAAAGAAGGTAAAAGATAAACTGACCTGCATTGGATGAGGTTGCAACCCCACGATCTTTCCACATAGAACCTGCAATTGGGACATCTCCTCCATTGTTCCTTCTTCGCAAGGTTTCTCAACATATTCTCCCTTTCCCTCTCAACCTTGTTCAACTTCTGAAACTTGGCACACTCAAACCCTACGTGCCAAGGAACCTTACACTGCGCGCAGAACAATTTCCTACAATGGGGGCAGTCCGATTGCCTTACGATCATCCCTTTCTTCCCATCATTATCAATGATTAGCATTGCAGAGCAATCCTTGTAGGGACAGTAAAACTTATGAGAGGCAGGAACCACAGCCTCACACAAGGCAACTCCCCACCTCTCAAACACCTCCTGGGGGAGGATCGAACGACAATGCTCGGGATCTAGGAGCCCTGATGTGCAATCTGGGTCGGGGCACCGGATGCTTGTTATGTTCTCTTCAAGCTTGGAGGCCAGGTAACGGACCATGCAGTCAATACAATAAGCATGGCTGCAATTTTTTATGCCAAACCACTCGGATGCTGCTGCCTTGGGTTCAACACAGATTTCACAGACAAAAGGCTGCTGTCTCTTTGTATTCTCCGAGTTGAAGGACTCCCCAACTTCAGTTATGGATAAATCCATAGGGGGTTCTTGATCGTGGGTTGCCTATCGTTTTTTGGAGGGAGGGTTTGGGGGGCTTGAAGATTTTAGGGAACCTGGCTTCAACATATCACTCAAGAGATTTCTGTGGGTTTCTTGTTTAGTTTGTTGATCTTTTATCGCTTTCATTGTGCTCTTTATTCCCAATTAGGTTTATGGGGGCTGAAGCCCAAACATAGAAGGAGACTGACTTTGCAATGAAGTCATCATCACATACAAATTGCCAGCGAATGGTCAAAATCACCAAGAGCATCCGCTACATGGTTTTTGTTTTTTGTTTTTTGTTTGTTTTTGTTTTTGTTTTTGTTTTTTTAAATTTCCTAATTTTCCCATTCTTATTTTTTTAATAATAATAGACTCCAATACTAATTAGTTCTCCTCATCAACTGAGAAGAGCTCTTCTAGGTTGTATGGCCCTACAGAGGAAGGGGTCCCATTCCTGAGAGTCTTTGCAAGGTTCTCATGGATCCTCTCAGTGGGATGAAAAGAATCCCACCATACATAATCATCAGCATTTTCACACATAATTGGTAGTCTTTAACTTCCTTTGTGCCTCCACAGGTGAAGATGCCCCCATAGGGCCCAGTCCCACAACAAGCATTCACTCCAACCTACACAGTAAATGTCAGATTAAAATGACCATAGTCTCTGTAAAATTGAAATTACCAAACTATTTTACTGAGATTGGAGGGATTATTAAGATCCTCACTAAAGATCATTTTTGTGTCTGAACTGAAGATCCATCACCCAAAATTGAACAATTCGATCAATTTTATGTACACAAAATAAGATCTCTAATGATTCAGAGCCATAATGACTAAAATTTTGCCATACCAATCCTTGATTGGTTTCAGAAAGAACGCCAGCCCCAGCAGATGCAAAGTTAACACCATTTGTGTAATCAGCAGAAGGTTGTAAAAATATGGAGGGATTAGTGGCAGCTTTGCATATTCCGCTGCATCATGAGCATTAAGTAAAATTGATGAACAATATACATACATAAATAAACTAAGGTTACAAAACATATTACAATACAATACATCGTCTGTACTTCTTTATTTTGATTATGTAAATATAAATACTAATTATTACCTATGTAATCTACAATGATACGGCCGTCAGAGAAGCGTCCTGTGGGGTGTTGGAAGAAGCCATTCTGCCCATATGGCTTGTAATGTGCTTGGTTAATTTCTCAGGAATGGTGTTGATGTAATTGTTGTTTCCAGGATGTACTGCTCAATATGTGATCATTAGCACATGACCCAAACCCAATTGACAACACTAAGGTGCTCACACGGATATGAAGATTAATTAAGTGATCCAAGAGAGAAATCTGCAGCTTGGCCATTTGAGATATTGAAATTATTGACTTCTGTCCTCTAGGAACCTAAAAATCCTTTGTGTAAGAGTTTAAGATAATCTTGGCTAGTAGATGCCAAACTCTCGAGAGTTGATAATCTTTGGCTAGTAGATGCCAAACTTCCAAGAGAGTTTTTAATAACCAAAAGCTACCTTGTAATTATCAGCCTAAAATTAATATGTCTATTAGCACCAATAATTCACAATTGACTGAGCATTATTCTAGATATCTTTGGTTCTAGTAATTATTAATGTTGTATTCTAGTAAGGATTAGGGGTGGACTAAGATCAATTGCATATGTTGTCAAATCACATTGCTTTCTAGAGGTTTTTTTTTTTTTTTTTTTTATAGTCTAAACTACAAGGGAGCGGGATTCCTATACTATTTATTTTATAATAAAAAACAGTAGTATAGCCGGGCGGCTCTACTGTTTTTATGAATAAAAAACCCCGAGTACAGCCGACCGACTATACTATTTTTTTAAATAAAAAAGTCATATAGCCGCTCGGCTATACTCTTTAAGTATGCAGTATAGCCGTGCGGCTATGCTATTCATTAAATAAATAAGAAAGCAAATGACCCCTCCAGTAGCCTCACATTAGAGCATCTCCAACCGATGTGTCAAACGTGCCACATAGACGTTTAACAATTAGAAATAACATCTCACATCAATCCAACCGATGTGTCAAAGCTGATGTGGAATGAAGACTGGAAGTTGAGATGTTATTTTTGACATCCCAAAAGCAAGATGTCAAATGAATATTTTATTATTCTTTTCTTTTCTTTTCTTTTTAATTAAAAATGAACCAATACTAAAATGTAATAAAATAATAATTTAATTTGACATATCGGGTGGAGTGTAAAGCTGTGTAAGATGTCAAATTGCCACACCAGCCATCAAATTTAAATTTGATATTTGATATTTGACATCTCCCTTGGAGATGCTCTTAGGCAACTCCCCACCTCTCAAACACCTCCTGGGGGAGGATCGAACAACAGTGCTCGGGCTCTAGCAGCCCTGATGTGCAATCTGGATCGGGGCACTAGATGCTTGTGATGTTGTTATTTTTGCTCTATTAGAAAATAGGTTAATAGAAGGAAACTGTCATAATTAAAAAATAACTTTGCAACTTTGATTGTTCTATCAAAATTAGCTTTCTACACAGAACCACCACATTGTTGGGGACAACCCAATAAGCGTCTTGTGGCAGTCGACATGAACGAGCGAAGCAATATTAGGAAAAACTTATCTTGGCAGACCAAAGGATTAATTTAAAAATAATACAAATAATACAAATTTATAAATAAACCCAATCCTAGACATGTATTTATAAAAAAAACCAAGCACTATTTAAACATAGAAACACCCCCAAAGTCAACTTTCTGGGTGTGTTTATAAATGGGTTTTGAGTGTGTGTAATGATGGGTTTTGAGTGTGTTTATATGTTTAAATAGTGATTGGGTTTGTGTTACGTTCTCAAACACATTTGATATGAAATACATCCCACCTAACATTCACAATCATTTTACAACATTGGACATGAATGTTTTGTGTCACTTCAAATTTTTTTTTTTTCTAACAATGAAAAATTAGCATGAATTGTATTTAAAGTGAAATGAAAAGTATGGTATCTTGTCTAGTTTCAAACTATCTATTGACTAAAGAATCTGAACATCTTTAAAAAATAGATTATGTTCTATGCTATTATGTTTTTATTGAGTAAAATATTGGAGGAAACTAAAAATATACCCAAGATGAAATGTGGTCTAAACAATACTAACAAGAATAAATGTGGGAAATGGTGGTTTGGATCAAGTGGGATAATCACTTTGTTATTATGTTCTTCATCATTAGCAGAACATGAACATGCCAACACAACAAGAATAGGGTAAGAATACAAAAAATTCATAATTCTATGTTGGGTTGTTTTAATACTTTACTTGAGAGGCACATGGTGGATTATGAAGTCAGACTCATTGGGCAATTACACGAGCCAATCTTTGCAGGTGACTAGAATGTTATTGTTTACTTGGTGAAGTATGTCTCAACACCAAATATTTATGTTCCAACAACATACTTGGTCAAGTCAACCTCCCAATTTAGTATTGGTTTCCAAAACCTGGTTCTTAGATTGATTGAAGGCTCATGGAAAAATTTGGCGCATCCCTGTTGGATTTGTTCCCCAACATCTGCTTTTTCAAGTTTTTTTTTAATGATATGGTTGGCCATTCGGATAATGGTATCACCAGTGACTACTATGAAAACACTCCTTCTGCTGAGCCTGCCACTGCAAATCATGCCACAACAAAATCTCACAGCTCTGACAACAAGAACATGTGGTTTGCCAAGAATGATGCTTTAAGTAAGGAATTTTCATTTTCTTTAGGTTTTTCTTTTCTTTGCGGCAATTATTGTTGACAATAATTGAACTTATGTACATTATTTAGGTGCACAAATTGCAACAAGGGGATTGAAGATGCTCTTGGTGAGTTCTGTTAATATTGGAGAGAGGATTGAAGTTATTAAAGTCCTGAGTTATCTCTTTCCTTTTCATCTCAAGCCTATTAGTCTAAAAATGTAGTTGGGATGAAGTTAATTCTCAGCATTTGATGTGGCAAGTCCAAAAATTGTGTTACGTTCTCAAACGCATTTGATATGAAATATATCCTACCTAACATTCACAATCATTTTACAACATTGGACATGAATGTTTTGTGTCACTTCAATTTTTTTTTTATTTTTTTTAAGCTATTTAGGTGTGACATCTTTCCAATATAAAAATTCACCAACAGCCACATAAACTGTGAAGAATTAAGAATGGAGAAAAAGAAAGACTAGAAATGGTTGAATATTTCTATTGTATTTCTCACTCTCGTGAAAATAGTATTGTTTATATACAAATGAAAAAGGAATCATTTGGAATGGAATTAGTTACAAAGAATATGGATATGATGACATGTGTATGATGGATATATGACTAGCTGTTTCCTAATCTTCTAGAATACTGCTGAGCTTGTGATTTTGTGCATTGATCCCATTGCTTTGTATTTGCTTTGACTGCACCTGCTGATGTATTGATGATCTGCATATGACAATGCAGGATGAAGTGTAAAGAATACAAACTAAAGAACTACTACTTGAGCCAATCAACTAAGCACGTCCATCCTCTGTCTTTTCAAATGATTTCATATTTCGTTTTGGTCAGAAAATGATTTCATTTTGGATTTTGAATTCTTGCATATATTTGTTGAATTCTTGAGGTGAGTTTTGTAACTTTGGATATGTATTGCCTGGAAACACTAAGAGATTCGGCATGAGAATGTGCTTGATACAATACAAGTTACATCACACTGATTAGGCTTTTTTGCTTAGCGAAAGAGAGTCATTGTCGAACACTTGGGTCCTTCAAACCACTAATGGAGCTATATTTCTCAGACCTGTTGATGGAGATATTGGTTTTTTTGGTCAAAATAGAGATATTGGTTTCTTCTATGTGTTGATGTTGACATACATATAATAATCTTTAGAACTTGGCATTTGATAATAGAGTTAGGGGAGCTTTTGTTATCCTTTATTTGTTTTTCTTATTATATCTAAGTCCCCCTCCTCTTCTTCTTCATT